ATAAGCTAATCGTCAAAAATCCTGTGGAGTCTCCTGAACATAATAAACACATTTATTTAATAGTTCAAAAATTGTTGAAATGGCGTAGAAAAGTTGTATCCTTATACGTATGTGGACTGAACGGATTGAGCAGAAATACTGCAGGAAGAGTTTGTTGTAGAAACTCCATTGTTAGAGGTTTATTTATATGTTCATGTCAGGTATGTGTTCTTCCTTACCTACTATATCTTTTTAGATTGAAATGGTTAGCATGAACAACAGCGCTGAATCAACTAAGTCCTCAGTTCCAAAGAAAAGTGGGTTTGTCAGTTCAAACAACAAGCCGAAGATGATAACAAATGTACATAATGTAAGAAACGTTCACCATAAAAGTATCAATCGAATAAAAAATTATACGTTTCAACAGAATGTGTATGATTTATTCTTTTAATGTAAAATATTATCGTTGTTGTTCTTTTCTAGAAAGCTTTTTTACTGGTTAATGTTGGATTTCATACCCAAACCTATCTTTGTATTGCCTATGATCGCAAGTATAGTTACAATCATAGGTATACTGGTAGTTTGTTTTACCGCACCGAAATCAACAGGTACGTTCTTGTTGCTTTGTATGCTCTGTATTTAATAAGACAAAAATCCATAGTTGATTTGGTTATGCTTTACCAGCATTGTGAGTTTTGATTAACAAGATTAAAATTATGATCGTATTTTATATAGACATTTTCGAAGCAAATCATTGAGCGAGGAAAGAATTATCAGCATTAGACCTGAATCAGTTCTGCATTTCAAAGTAGGAATGACAAATGCGAGCCAACTAAGATGACTATCACCGGTAGACCTGATACTTTGTCCACAAGTCGAACTCTTCTAAGAAACAAGGATACTCATTTTCTATAAGACAAAGATTATGACATTGCCTATATTTTTCCTCATATTTCAATAAGACAAAGAATTTCACGATCTGTACTGTCACAAACTGATGCTGCACATTGTTATTTACTGCAGAAATATCAACTTTATCCTATTCAATGTTCTTGAATATAATAGGAATACGAAATAATAAGAAAAAATAAAAGTGATTTTCTCATAGAATGTGACGAAAGAAAAGATGTCCTCTCCACGCAACACATCTTCTTTACATTTTTTCACTTTATGTTGACTGTAGAGAAGAGTAAATACTATCTATGTTCCATTGATATCTTCTTTCGTTCAACTATCATGTCTGTATGAGTATATGCAATCCATTCTAGTATTTTCAGGTATATTCGTTTTCTTTTTCGATCTTTCTGTTTGGTTCATGTCTGTCCTCGCGTATTTTCTAGTGGTATATTTCCGTTACAGCTCTTTGAAGCCATGAAACTTTGCATATACATCATAAAATAATACTTTTATCTCACTAATAACTGATTAGTAGTCGATGATTTTTGCGAAGTGGACAAATACTAAGCACATTTCTATTTTAACATCGCTCAAATGTCTCGATAGTAAAAATGTGTAATAAGCATAATGTCTTGAAATTATTATTTTCAATTAATTCTGGCAAAGAACACATTGTATTTAATCTCTATGAATGTTTGTACGAGATTTTGGAATGTATATCTCATATATTTGAAACGGAAACTATATTGGTTCATGATGATGAAGAGGAAGAGCAAGATTTCGAAAATTCATTCATATTAGCATCGATATACCCTCGTCTAGGCGAATTTGTCTCTTCTATAAACTCATACACCTATACCTATATCCTGCCATTTTCACCTATGATAAAGTGCACCTGGGTGAAAAATCTTTTTTGAAAATTGATTCTGGCCCATTTTAGAATGTTAAAGATACATGTTTTGTATTTTGTTACAGGCATGTTGTTCACATACCTTCACATCGCTTCAGCTGTTACTGTTCGTTTTCTCTCTGTTCGTCCTTGGTATTCGTTTCTTGTCTCTGTTCTGTTTTCGTTCTCTTTGTTTACGTTCTTTGATTCTTTTTTTCTCTCATCGCGATGCTCTCTATCTTGGGTCGACTCATTCAAAATAAAACCGAACTAAGAGAAAGAAGCAAAGAGACTTCTAATATATTTCAAACAAACAGATGTTCTGAAAAGAGTTGCATCAATGGGCCGATAATTCGTTGTTCTTAGTGCAACAAGAACTTGATCCACTCTTTTTCAAATTACTATCATCATGAGATTGATCAATTATTTTCTTGATCTTTTATTTTGTTCTCATTCTTCGTATGATTTTATTTTCTTATTAAGAAAAAACGTTAACTACAGATCTTCTTTTTTTATACGATAAGTACCGAAGTGTAAGATGAGTTTGTAAGAAGTTAGCTCTTGAAAATCTACCTTTATTGAGATACAATCAATTGTACGAATTCTTTTGGATTTTTTTCTATCCTATGAGGTCAACTGATGAGAAAACTTTGAGCTCAAATAACAGGTATTTATGAGTATGACGTTCGCATTACTACGATTACCAGTATGTTGTAAGTGCTACTTGCCAGTGAGGGCATATTGGTAAATTTGATTTTTATCTCAAACAAAGCCTATTTTATGAACTGTAATCCAAAGTATTCGAAGTCATAAAATCCAGAGAAAGAGCACATAAAAAACGAATTTACCCACATCAGAATTTTCGAAACAAGTCTATAAAGGCTGAGGCAGATTAAGTGGCTACACTTTGCATTTCAATTTTCAATTACTTAATACCAGGTTACATTTGCTTTGCAAATGGACAAGATTTTGAGCGATCGAATTTCGACCGTGAGAAAAATTGTCGCACAAAATTTTGTTGCTTTCGAAAACAAATACAATAAGCTTTCCTATGTAAATTGTGTAACTTTTCACGGTGGATCTAGTAGTATATTTTGTTTTTTTTCAACTAAAAACTATCAGATGATAAAATGATGAAATAAGAAAAAATGAATTCATCTTGTACAAAGAAAACCCTGTTTTCACATGGTCGAAATTAGGTCTCTCGAAATTCTGTGCATTTTGAAAGAAAAAAGTACAACGGTTAAAAAAACTGGTCCGTATAAATCGTAGAGTTTTCACGTTGCATCCTGTGGTATATTTTATCTTTTTAATACAACGTATTAAGTGAGTAAAAATTAAAATGCAAAGTGTAGCCATCTAATCTGCCTCATCCGTTATTTCGATGCAGAATGAGACAGCGAATCATTGGACACCCCATTTTATCTGTTTGAAAAGCCAATCAAGGGTTCCTAATCCAGATTAATATACCATATTGTCACTGCACCCAAACGACTATATCCAACAATAAAATAACTACAAGCTGAATTTACGATGAACTAATCGTGTTTCTATAGAGTTTGATGCAGTTTTTGACGAACTAACCGTTAGTGTAGTTTTCTTCTAGTTATTTTATTAGCTAAAGTCTTTCAAGGTTTGATCGTGCCTAAAACTGCAATCATAAGTGCTGCTATTTCCGAAGAACCTATGGTATCCATATTAATAGAACGGAAGCCGATGATGTGGTTTTCTGGAATCGATCTAGGATGATTAGTGGAAGTTTCTTATCTGTATAATTATGATATCCACAAGAAAACTTTACCAGCATGTAGTCAGTCAAAAACTGCATCAAACTTTGAAGAGGACCGTCCATCGTAAAGCCGTCTCCAAAGCAATTAAGAAGCCAGAACCTTCCTTACATACCCGAAATATCGATAGAAACACTATTATCTCGACATAACTTTAGCTTTTCATCTGAGAATTTGTAGATAATTTACTCGTCTTTCAAATGAGACTATTTATAGACAGGCGAACAAATGTTTTCATAAAGTTATTGCTAGTGTACAGCCATCTGACTGCAGTAAAAATATAGGATTGTAATCTGTCTCAGACGCCATTGAGTCGTTTTTCAAGTAGATGATCTGTCTTTTTATGCGTCTTCCTCCTTTGTTCGTAGTTTTTCGAAATGTGTAATCTTAAGCTTTTTTTCTCTGGAACGACTATATCTCGAAAATAACGATACTACAAACTTTGAAAAACTATGAATGGATTCACATTTCTCAACTCCAAAGTCATTTGATCAAGCTTGAAACACAGTGTTATTTTCGTAAAATAAGTTTCTTTGGAGCGAAAAATTAAACTGACACATTTTTCATTACCCAATAAGATACCTTGTCAGTAACAATAATTCGCTGTCTCAGCCCTCTAACCAAATAAAAAGCTCTCATCAATTACCCGAAACCATCATATAGCTATACAGGTCATATTGTAACATTGGAGTATGATCACGATGTTCAACATTAGAAATCAATCATCACTCAACTCATCAGGTGATAACTACTAATAAGTTGTCAGTTTTCTATTCATTGCCTAATCTCGAACCGTCGTAAAAAAACTTATTATATTCTAATTGTTGTTGTTAATTAACAATGCGTGATATTCATGACGCGATGGCAAGAGTTTTGTAACACGGACATACTGACATTCATTTGATTTTGAAACGGTCCGAAAATATCATCATTATATTCTAATTGTAGCTAATGGCATGTCCTTCAATAATCAGTAAGAGAGAAACGAATGCAGTGTTGAACTCTTAGTTAGGAAAAGTTCATAGTTCGTTTTGTCATCATGTTAGCTACTGTCTCTGTTCTTCCTCAGTCACTATGAGTTTCGCGAGACTCAACGATGTTCTATTGAAAAGTGCTGGTTCTCATTCAGATTTGTTTGTAATGTTCTGCCTGTTGTCAATAGAAAATCATCAGAATTATCGAAGTCTGATACGATCCATTAGGAATAGCTGAATTATAGTAACTGATCAGTCTTTATTTCTTTGTTCTTGCGTTACTTAGTCCCAAAATGTCAACTTAATTTTAAAGCAACGGCACAAAATCCAATTAACTATAAGTATGGCCCACGAGCTGTTGCCATGGGAGACTTCAACAACGATACCTTGCTAGATATTGTTGTTGCCAATTATGCTGCTGACAATATAGCTATATATTTTGGACATGGCGACGGTACTGTGGCAAGCCCAGTCATGTTTTCAACTGGTTATGGCTCTGCTCCGTACATGATTGCTGTTGGTGATTTTGACAACGATTATCGACCAGATGTTGCTATCGCAAATTTTGGCACAAATAGCATCGGTATACTTCTTAGATTCCAAAATGGGTCTTTTGCAAGCAAAACAGTTCTATCAACTGAATCATCTCGTCCTGTTTGGATCCATATAGCAGATCTTAACAATGATGCAGCATTAGATATTATCACTGCTAACTACGGCACACACAGTGTAAGTGTATTTTATGGATATGGTAATGGAAGCTTTACAACGCCAAGCACGTACTCTACAGGCTATGATTCTTTCCCGTATGCGGTTGTCAGTGGCGACTTCAATAATGACAAGCAGATGGATCTTGCTATCGCCAATTATGGTACCAATAATGTTGGTATCATGCTTGGGACTACTAACGGCAATTTCGCAAGGCAAAGCATATTCTCAACTGGTACTAATTCCCATCCATACTCGCTTGTTGCTGGTCATTTAAACGAAGACACTAATCTAGATATTGCCGTCACCAATCACGGAAATAACAGCGTGGGTATACTTCTTGGGAATGACAACGGAACTTTTATAAGACAAACGACATATTCGCTCGGCACGGCTTCTCCATATTCTATTGGCATTGGTGACTTCAACAACGACAATCGAATGGATTTAGTCGTTACCAATAATGGCACTGACAATATAGCTCTACTTGTCGGGCATGGCAACGGTACTTTTGCAAGTCCAAAAATGTATTCAACTGGATCTTCTTCATCAATCTCCATTGTCATAGGTGATTTAAATAGCGACAATCGTTCAGACATTGCCTTCATCAACAATGATACAAGCACTATAGGTATCGTGCTTGGCTATGACGAATTTTTTCCTATTCAAACGACATATTCAACTGGCATTAATCCATACTCAGTAGCCGTTGGTGATTTCAACCAAGACACCCGAGTAGATATTGTAGTTACTAATAAGGATAGCAACACTGTAGGTGTACTTCTCGGATATGGCAATGGCTCCTTTGCAAAGCAAACGACATATTCAACTGGCTTTAATCCATACTCTGTAGCCGTTGGTGATTTCAACCATGACACCCGACTAGATATGGTAGTTGCTAATTATCATTCTGAAAACAATGTAAGTGTCCTTCTTGGATATGGCAATGGGTCTTTTGCAAATCAAACGACATATTTAGCTGGCTCTTACCCAGTGTCTGTAGCTGTTGGTGACTTTAACAACGACGCCCATCTGGATATCGTCGTTGCTAATTTTGGTGACAACACTGTAAGTGTCCTTCTAGGATATGGAAATGGCTCTTTTGCAAATCAAACGACATATTTAACTGGGACCTACCCACAAGCTGTAGCTGTTGGTGATTTTAACAACGACACCCAACTGGATATCGTCGTTGCTAATTTTGGTGATAACACTGTAAGTGTCCTTCTAGGATATGGCAATGGCTCTTTTGCAAGTCAAACGACATACTTAACTGGCTCTGTCCCAATCGCTGTAGCTGTTGGTAACTTTAATAATGACAACCAACTGGATATCGTCGTTGCTAATCGGGATGACAACACTGTGAGTGTCCTTCTTGGATATGGTAGTGGGTCTTTTGCAAATCAAACGAAATATACAACTGGCTCTTACCCACAATCTGTAGCTGTTGGTGACTTTAACAACGACACCCAACTGGATATCGTCGTTGCTAATTTTGGTGACAACACTGTAAGTGTCCTTCTAGGATATGGCAATGGCTCTTTTGCAAATCAAACGACGTATTCAACTGGCTCTGATCCACAAGCTGTAGCTGTTGGTGATTTTAACAACGACACTCGACCGGATATTGTCGTCGCTAATTTTAATGACTATACTGTAGGTGTACTACTTCGATATGACAGAGGAGCTCTGAAAGATAAAATCACATTTGCGCCTACCGATGGTTCTCGTTTGCAAAGCTTTGCCATTTCTGATTTCAATAACGATAGCCTATTGGATATCGCTGTTGTCAATTATGGTACTAATAACATAGGTGTGCTTCTTGGATATAGGAATGGCACTTTTGGAAATCAAATGGTGCTCTCAACAGGCTTAAATTCTCATCCTTACTCCATCACTATCCATGATTTCAATAGAGACGGTCAAGCAGATATAGCCGTGGCCAATTATGGTGCTAAAAATCTTGTTACGTTTCTGGGAAGTGGAAATGGAACATTTGAAAATCAAGGACGTTACGGTATAAATTTTGATTTTGCTCCACTGATGATTGGTGCTGGTAGTTTCAACAAAGATGGGCGTTCAGAAATTTTCGTTGCATATGATGGCATCGATTATGTAGATGTGCTTGTTACATACGACATCGGATCTTTCGCTGATGGCATTAAACATTCAACTGGGAATTGGCCCAGATCTGTGGCTCTTGGCGATTTTAATAACGACAACAAGCTTGATATGGTCGTCGCTAATCAAGCAGAAAACACTGTTAGCATACTTCTCGGATATGGTAATGGCTCTTTCGCAATGCAAACGGTATATCTAACTGGTGCTTACCCACTCTCGGTAGCTGTTGGTGATTTTAATAACGACACCCATCTCGATATCGTTGTCGCAAATGGATATGATAGCTCTGTAAGCGTACTTCTTGGATATGGAAATGGCTCTTTTGTAAGTCAAACGACATATTCAACTGGCTCTGGCTCATGCTCTATAGCTGTTGGTGACTTTAACAACGACACTTATCTGGATATCATCGTCGCTAATTATTATGGCAACACTGTAAGTGTTCTTCTCGGATACGGTAATAGCTCTTTCGCAATGCAAACGGCATATCCAACTGGTTCTTACCCACTCTCTGTAGCTGTTGGTGATTTTAATAACGACACTTATCTGGATATCGTTGTCACAAATGGGTATGACAACTCTGTAAGCGTACTTCTAGGATTTGGCAATGGCTCTTTTGCATACCAAACGACATATTCAACTGGCTCTGACCCACGATTTGTAGCTGTTGGTGATTTTAATAATGACAACCGACTAGATATCGTCGTTGCTAATTATTATGACAACACTGTAAGTGTACTTATCGGACATGGCGGTGGCTCTTTTGTGAATCAAATGAAATATTCAACTGGTTCTGGACCAACTTCAGTAGCTGTTGCCGATTTTAATAACGACACCTTATTGGATATCATCGTGACTAATTGGAATAACAACACTATGAGTATCCTTCTTGGATATGGGAATGGTGTTTTCGCAAATCAAATAACCTATTCAACTGGCTATAGCCCTTCATCTGTAGCCGTTGGCAAATTCAATAAGGACACTCGGCAGGATATCGTCGTCACTAATCTGAATGGGAAAAGTGTCACTGTGTATCTCGGATATCCGAATGAAGGTTTTCTAAAACAAATGAGACTCAAAACTGAGAATGGATCTCGGCCTAAGTCATTCGCCATGGGAGATTTTAACAATGACAGTCAAACGGATATAGCAGTGGCAAATTCAGGCACTAACAGCGTCGGTATTTTTCTGAGATATGAGAATGGTTCTTTCGCAAATCAAATAACATATCCTACTCATTCTTCACCATGGTCGGTAGCTGTTGGTGATTTCAACAATGATACCATAGTTGATATCGTTGTCGTGAATGGTGGCAATGACACTGTTGGTATCTTTATTGGATGGGGTAATGGTTCTTTTTCAAGCCAGAAAACGTTTTCGACCGGTTTTAACTCCCAACCGAACGCGGTTGCTGTTGGAGACTTTAACAACGACACTTTGCTAGACATTATTGTTGCTAATTATGGCACAAACAACATAGGTGTGTTGCTTGGTTATGGGAATGGCTCCTTCACAAATGTTAAGCTTTTTTCGACCGATTATGGATCTCTTCCGTTCTCAATTTCTGTTGATGATTTAGACAATGATGGAAAATTGGATTTCGTCGTCGCCAACGAAGGTGCTGACAATTTAAATATTTTTTTACAGACCTGTTAATATTATCACTGCTGTCTTAAGCTTTTTTTTCGATTGATTCATAATTCCAAACTTCTGCTTAGTACTGCTAATATTTTTTGTAACCTTTTTTGGGTGAGGATGTGTTTAACTAAAACAACAAATGGTATTTCGATTTGTTATTCAAAATTTCAGTATGATTTATGTGTTTGATATATTGAAGGAGGTTAGTAAGACAGTTTGCATACTATTTTTGAAATAGTCAAGACGTGCTGTGATCAGAAAAGGATTGATGAACTTGGAAGTTTTTATGATGAATTTGTCTTGATGGTTCCTGTTTCTCTGTTTCCTTTTGGGAGATCAAGAAAGTCATTTTCAGCCGTTGTTGAAAACTGTATATGGTGAATCCAACGCTTTTGATTGTTCCCAGCAAATATAAGAGATGATGATATTAATATTGCCAGTATTTCAAATAGGATACAGTAAGGAATACTAAAAGATAAGTTTGGTGTTCTTTATCATGAATTTCGAAGAGGGTGGTTGTGATTTTATGCGTAAACCTACCACGATACAAATTTTTGTATGTCAAAGTTGCAGCTAAGAAGTATCGAGTAGCAAGTACTTGTATAATTGATGCAAGAATAATCTGTATGTGAAATTACGTATTAATCGCGAAAAGATCATGTGTTCAAAAGTTTGAGCGAGCTATGCAGGACAAAAGAAAAAGTCAAAAGTATGATTGTCGCAAGTAAATATATTTGCAAATTTGACGAAGCCATGAGATGTGAAAATTCGTTAAAAATTTCACGATTTCATGTTTAAATATGTTAGAAATTTGATCATGTACTTGCGTTGAAGTTGAATCAAATTAATGCACTTCAACGTGTTTCTCACCGTTAAAGCGAAAACGTTTAACAACTTTTCACACAGTAATTTATTAAAAACGTTTGAAAATATGACAAGTACGTAAGCTGATGTACCCATTGTTACTCCAAATTTTTAATACAATATTATTGACCGCATGTATGATGAACTTCCTCCAATGATCTGTATCAATCCAAACTTCAGTCGTCCGAAGAAGAAAATGCATCTAATTAGTTCGATATTAAGTATACCTTCACTGAAAAAAAATCCGTAGAATAATCAACTCTTTGACTTGAAAAACGATTCCATAAACCCTTCAAGGGTTTATAACCACTTCATATACCCTTTCAGGGTTTATGAACGAAAGGGTTTATAACAATGAGGGTATATGAAAATAAAAGGGGTATATGATGCGTAGTTGAGGGTATATCAGTCAGAGTTTTTATCAATAGGATTTATTATTCTATCCTCAAAGGTATATTATTCTACGTTTTCATTAAAATTGTATGTTGTTGCACGCATCAGGGTAGATCATTCTACGAGGATCACAAAAGAGTTTATTATTCTACGCATAAGGGTATATTACGCTATGAAGTTCACAAAAGGATTTATTATTCTACGCGCAAGGGTAGATTATCCAACGATTACAACAGAAGGGTAGACCACTCGGCGGTTTTAAGAAGTGGGTTTATCATTCTGCGCTTAAGGGTAGATCATTCTACCATTATTGAAAGAAGGGTTTATTACTGCACGCAGAATAGTACACTTTTCTAGAATCATGAAGAGAAGGGTTATCTTGCTGCGCATAAGGATAGATTGTTCTGCGATTGCAGAATAAGGATTTACCATCCTACGTCTAACGGTAGATCATTCTTCGTCTAAGGATAGATCATTCTACTATTATAGATGCAAGGGTATATTATTGCATTCAGTAGGGTAGACTATTCTAGAATTTTGAAGAGAAGGGTTTATTAAGCTGCGCATAGGGGTAGATTACTCTATAATTAGAAAAAAAGAATTCATCATTGTACGTCTAATGGTAGATCCTTCTACAATTACACATGCAAGGGTTCATCATTCTACGTCTGAGGGTAGCTCCTTCAATTACACATACAAGGGCTTATCATTCTACGTCTGAGGTTAGATCATTCTACCATTATACAAAAAAGGGTTTATCATTCTACGCCTAAGGGTAGATTCCTCTACCATTATACATAAAAGAGTTTATCATTCTACGTCTAAGGGTATATCCTTCTACCATTGTGGACAAATTGGTTTATCATTCCCCGTAGAAAGTTACATTATTCTACGGTTATGAAGAGAAGGGTTTACTGTACTATGCATATATGTAGATGTTTCTGCGATTACAGAAGAAAGGTTCATCTTTCTATGTCTGTGGGTAGATCATTCTAGCATTATGGATACAAAGGTTTATTACTCCACACAAAAGGGTAGATTATTCTACGATTACTGAAGAAAGTTCTATCATATTACATATAAAGGTAGATCATTCTATCACTGTGGACACAAGGGCTTCTATTCCTCGCAGAGAAGTAAATTATTTTACGATGATGAAAAAAGAATTTGTTATTCTACATTTACAGGCGTATAGTGGTCCATTATTCTACGACAATAGAAGAAAAGGTCTCATTATTCTATGCATAAGCGTAGATTATTCTACAATTAGAAAATAGGGTTTATTATCATATGTCTGAAGCTAGTTTATTTTACCATTATGTAAAAACGGTTTATTATTCTTCTATTAATAGATAATTTACAGCCAAAGAAAACGGATTAACTATTTTACATTTCAGGGCAGATCGTTCTGAGATTCACCATAGATTATTCTATTCTAAAGTCTAGATTAGTCTACAAATTTCTTAAGCAAGTAAAATGATTCATTTGTCCACTTTTAGTCGTAAATTACGCTAAAGGCTCATCAGAAAGTTCATGAGTATTTATATAAAGAATATTTACTGTACGGCGATAAAAAATTCTACCTAAATCCTTCTTTTCAGATTCGTTAACAGAATGATAGTATATCTATTTAGTTGCTTGCAGTTATCTGTGATTATTTCTGTGAAAGAAGGTTAGCATTTTCTCTAAAACGACTGTGATTGTTACAGATTGATAACCTTATCTATTGGATAGCGCTGCGATTAGTTGAAGAAACTTAGTGTATGTAAGCCACTTATGTTAAGTAAACGAACACAATTGCATTGTTTTCTGTCGAAATCGTCACCTAAAAGAAATACACGATGTCGTTTGTCAATTCAACAAGATTATTTGAGTAGTAATTCAATAACACGAGTGAGTTCTGCTGAAAATAGTTTTGATTCAAATTTGAATATGTTATTAGAAATGAATAAGTTCCACTTTCATCTACTGCTGATTTCACAAAATTTCTAATTTCATTCAACATTGCTTCACAATAATAGCAGTTACGGAGAAGTATTATCGTTTTTTGCTAAGCTATCGAAATATGAAAGCGCTTCGTCGAAAGTTATCAAGAAAGGCTTGAATGCGTAATAAAAGAGAAAAACAAATCTTTCACGTCCAACAGTAAAAAGAACTAGCAAGATACTCAGGATGGTGCCACTCCACTGACTGATACAAAATCAAATTTTAGTTATTCACAAAACAAGCGCAAACATTGATGTTAGAATAAAGTTCTTCAGTAAACGATATTCAGTAAATGATTTTTTTTCTTTATCTTTTACGTATTTTTCTTACATACTATGGGCTATTTAATTTCAGTCTGAATTTATCAAATAAAAAT